TAATGTCTCACACCAGTCCACAAAACTGTCCACAGCCATCCTGTATTCCAAGTCGTCCCCACCCTTAATACATCCGACTATTGCTGAATCATCTGAAAATTTTTGCAGGTGACAGCCCTCTGTGTTATATTGGAAGTCAGATGTATACAGTGTGAAGAGAAACGGTGACAAAACAGTTCCCTGCGGTGCTCCAATGCTACACAGTACCGTATCGGACTTATTCCCCTGTAGCCGTACGTACTGTGGCCTATCAGTCAGATAGTCCATAATCCACGCAACTAAGGGAGCATGAACCTGCATAGCAGACAGTTTGCTCCCTAGCCGGGCTGGCTGAATAGTGTTAAAGGCACTGGTAAAATCGAAGAATGTAATCCTCAGGGATGCACTCGGTTTGTTAAGATGGCTGTAGGCACAATGTAACAGGTAAATGATGGCGTAAGCGAACTGAAGAGAATCTTGCGCTGACCTCACTAGGGGTCGGAGAGTGTCCAGGACCAGCCTCTCAAAGACCTTCATACTGTGTGAAGTAAGTGCTACTGGCCTGTAGTCTGATGGAACACCAGGTCGCGCCTTCTTGGGTACCGGAACCAGACATGATGTTTTCCACATCACAGGAACTTTCTTAATACTGAGGCTCAAATTAAAGATCCTTAGCAGTACTCCACTTAACTGAGAAGCACACAGCTTAAGTACTTGTGTGGTTAATCCGTCTGGACCCGGTGCCTTAGCAGGATGGAGTCTGCATAATTCTCTCCTCACTTGGTCCTCAGTGATGATCATAGGTGGTTTATAAGTGTCTGAGACACCAATGAAAGGAGGAGAGGCGGTGGAGGCTTCAGTTGGTACGATGGTGAAAGAGGAGCAGGGAGAGGGCGCGAAGTAGGGCAAAGTGCTGCAATTTGACGTGACACTGTTGGGGGGAGCAGATGCACTAGGTGTAGTAAGGGCTGTGTCAGAGCTGGAGAGTCTGGAGAGAGGCCTACTGTCAAACCTGTTGAAAAACATATTAAACTGATTGGCCCTATCCACATCACCATCAGTTCTAGGGCTGCTGGTCTTGAAGCCAGTAATGTTCTTCATGCCTCTCCACACATACCTACTGTTGTTCTGTTGCAGCTCTTGTTCCAGCTTTTTCTTGTATCTCTCCTTACCCTCCTTTAACCTCACCGACAAGCGCCTCTGTACTTCCTTAGCTGCTTCCTTATCACCTGACCTGAATGCCACCTTCTTTTCATTCAGAAGGGCTTTGATATCTTTAGTGACCCATGGCTTGTTGTTAGGAAAGCAGTGTATGGATTTCACTGGTACAGTACTATCCACACAGAAGTTGATGTACTCAGTGACACAGTCTGTGAGGTTATCAATGTCCATACCATGTGGCACGCACAGAGCATCCCAGTCCGTAGTCTCCATGAAGTCTTGCAGGGCTGCACTGGCCTCTTTTGACCACTCCCTCACTGTCCTAACAGTAGCTGGCTGCCTTTTTACCAGAGGTAGGTAGGTGGACTGAAGGTACACAAGATTGTGATCCGATCTACCTAGAGGTGGAATGGCTATACAGCTGTATGCCTCTTCCACATTAGCATACAGTAAGTCCAGAGTCTTATTTTCTCTGGTGGGGCATTCTACATACTGTGAAAAGGTGGATAGTGTCCTGTTTAGTGAGACATGATTAAAATCGCCTGATATTAAGACGAACGCGTCCTGGTGCATTGTCTGGAGTCTAGCAGTAGCGGAGTGAATGACGTCACATGCCGTCGTCGCATTGGCCGATGGAGGAATGTAAACAACAATGGCGATCACATGTGAAAACTCTCTGGGCAGATAGTATGGACGTAGCCCCACTGCTAACAGTTCAATGTCCGGGCTACAGATACGTTCCTTAATCACAATGTGATTCGGGTGGCACCATCTTTCATTAACAAAAACAGCAAGTCCACCCCCCTTGCTCTTTCCACTCTCACGCCGAGTTCTATCCGCCCGGACACTCGAAAAGCCAGCCACGTCCACGACTGAGTCAGAAATACACTCATGCAGCCATGTTTCAGTAAAACACATCAAACTACACTCACGAAATTCTCTGTGGCATCTGACCCGTGCCGTAAGCTCGTCCATCTTATTTTCCAGTGACCTCACGTTGCCCATAACAACAGACGGCAAGTTAGGTTTATACCGTCTTCTCGGCTGCTCATCAGACAATTTCCCATTCCTCGTTCTTTTCCCTCGCACCTTTGCTCCTCCACGGCAGCCTCTCTTAGTCTTCCCCCTCCGTAACTCCGCGGGGATACCCGAGAGGACCGCACTGTGCTCCGAAGCATCCTGCCTCAACGAGATCAGCTGGTCCGGGGTATAAAAAAAAACGGATCACAACCGCTAGCTGTGTTAGCATTAGCAGCGTGCGGCAAGCTCAAACAAAGAGCAGTAAACAAAAAAAACACAGAGATGGCTCTCTCTACCCTCATGTTTAAGGAGGGCACAGCTTACTAACACTAATAAACTAAAACAAAAAAATGAAAAATAAAGACAACAAATTAAAAACTCTAAAACACTAAGACAAGACACAGAGCAGTCAAAACATGCTGCAGCAAGCTCGCGCCTGCGCACTTCAATTCCTGGTACGAGTTTGTACCAGATTATCGTGCCCCCCGAATCTCTACCATGTTTAATTTTTTCATGTTTTTTAGATGAAATGGATATTTCACAGTATCCTGGGGGACAAAGAGTGACCTAATCAGTTCTGCGCTTTGTTTCCTGGAGTATTATGATGTCTTTGTCTAAAATGCTTTTCTTAAAATCCAAGGTGTTAACTTTACACCCAAGACTGGATGAGTTAACACCCTGGATATTCCACAGTGAGATTGTTAGCGGTTTCATTTGGTCAACAAACAATTTAAACATTTCTCTAGAATAAAGAAATGTCACCCATCACTGGGGCTTCTCTGAGTACATACTGTTTCCTCTGCTGGTGGTGTGGTGGTACTACAAGATCCTGCCATTGTTGATGGTGTTGTCGGGTCGGCTGAGGATGTGGGTACTGAGGGTGTAGGCTTGCTGGCCTTGGGTGTGGATGCTGAGAGTGTGGGTGCACTGGCACAGGGCGTGGGTTAGAGATCTGCGCGGGACTAAATTTTGAATCCCGCCCGCACCCGCCAGGTTTTAGCTCGAACCCGACCGCTCCCGCTTATATTAAAAATTTGTTGTCCTGCTGCCCGACCCGCCCCGTTTTCTACCCGCCGCGCCTGATCCCGCTAAAGAGCAGGGGAGAAACAAAACTGAAAATCACTCAGCTATACAGTCCAGACAGCCAAGCTGTCTGTATAAACACTCACACACAAGCACCAAGCAAACACACAGGCAAAGCTCTCTGTCTCTCATTCGCATAGCAATATCCGCGATATTGCTAGACAGCCCGCTCCCGTCCCAAATTAAACCGTTACCGACCGCTCCCGCAATTTATTTGGAAATTTACTCCCGCGCCGCAGAAATCTGGTCGGGTCCCGCGGCGCCCCGCGGGAATGCAGACCTCTAGCGTGGGTGCTGATGTTCTGCTGGTACAGGGTGTGGATGCTGAAGGTGTGGGTGCACTGGCATAGGATGTGGGTGCTGAGGGTGTGGGTGTACTGGCACAGGGCGTGGATGCTGAGGGTGTGGATGCACTGGCACAGGGCGTGGATGCTGAGAGTGTGGATGCACTGGCACAAGACGTGGATGCTGAGGGTGTGGGTGCACTGGCACAGGACGTGGGTGCTGAGGGTGTGGGTGCACTGGCACAGGACGTGGGTGCTGAGGATATGGGTGCACTGGCACAGGACGTGGGTGCTGAGGGTGTGGGTGCAATAGGACAGGACGTGGGTGCTGACGGTCTGTTGGCACAGGGCGTGGGTCCAGATGTTCTGCTGGCACAGGGCGTGGATGCTGAGGGTGTGGGTGCACTGGCAAAGGGCGTGGATGCTGAGGGTGTGGGTGCACTGGCAAAGGGCGTGAATGCTGAGGGTGTGGGTGCGCTGGCAAAAGGCGTGGATGCTGAGGGTGTTGTTGCACTGGCACAGGACGTAGGTGCTGAGGGTGTGGGTGCACTGGCACAGGACGTGGATGCTGAGGGTGTGGGTGCACTGGCACAGGGCGTGAATGCTGAGGGTGTGGATGCACTGGCACAGGACGTGGATGCTGAGGGTGTGGATGCACTGGCAAAGGACGTGGGTGCTGAGGGTGTGGGTGCACTGGCACAGGGCGTGGATGCGAGGGTGTGGATGCACTGGCACAGGACGTAGATGCTGAGGATGTGGATGCACTGGCACATGACGTGGGTGCTGAGGGTGTGGATGCACTGGCACAGGGCATGGGTGCTGATGTTCTGCTGGCACAGGGCGTGGATGCTGAGGGTGTGGATGCACTGGCAAAGGGCGTGGATGCTGAGGGTGTGGGTGCACTGACACAGGACGTGGGTACTGAGGGTGTGGATGCACTAGCACAGGACGTGGGTGCTGAGGGTCTGTTGGCACAGGGCGTGGGTGCAGATGTTCTGCTGGAATAGGGCGTGGATGCTGAGGGTGTGGGTGCACTGGCAAAGGGCGTGGATGCTGAGGGTGTTGTTGCACTGGCACAGGACGTGGGTACTGAGGGTGTGGGTGCACTGGCACAGGACGTGGATAGTGAGGGTGTGGGTGAACTGGCTTAGGGCGTGGATAGTGAGGGTGTGGGTGAACTGGCACAGGGCGTGGGTACTGAGGGTGTGTGCACTGGCAAAGGGCGTGGATGCTGAGGGTGTGGGTGCACTGGCACAGGACGTGGGTACTGAGAGTGTTGGTGCACTAGCACAGGACGTGGGTGCTGAGGGTCTTTTGGCACAGGGCGTGGGTGCAGATGTTCTGCTGGCACAGGGTGTGGGTGCACTGGCAAAGGCCATGGAGGCTGAGGGTGTGGGTGCACTGGCAAAGGGCGTGGATGCTGAGGGTGTTGTTGCACTGGCACAGAATGAGGGTTCAGAGAGTGTGGGTGCACTAGCACAGGATGTGGATGCTGAGGGTGTGGGTGCACTGGCACAGGGTGTGGATGCTGAGGGTGTGGATGCACTGGCACAAGACGTGGATGCTGAGGGTGTGGATGCACTGGCGCAGGACGTGGGTGCTGAGTGTGTGGGTGCACTGGCACAGGGCGTGGATGCTGAGGGTGTGGATGCACTGGCACTGGACGTGGGTGCTGAGGATGTTGGTGCACTGGCACAGGGCGTGGATGCGAGGGTGTGGATGCACTGGCAGAGGAAGTGGATGCTGATGGTGTGGATGCACTGGCACAGGACGTGGATGCTGAGGGTGTGGGTGCACTGGCACAGGATGTGGGTACTGAGGGTGTGGGTGCACTAGCACAGGACGTGGGTGCAGATGTTCTGCTGGCACAGGGCGTGGATGCTGAGGGTGTTGTTGCACTGGCATATGACGTGGGTGCTGAGGGTGTGGGTGCACTGGTAAAGGGCGTGGATGCTGAGGGTGTGGGTGCACTGCCACAGTACATGGGTGCTGAGGGTGTGGGTGCACTGGCACAGGACGTGGGTGCTGAGGGTGTGGATGCACTAGCACAGGACGTAGGTGCTGAGGGTCTGTTGGCACAGGGCGTGGGTGCAGATGTTCTGCTGGCACAGGGCGTGGATGCTGAGGGTGTGGGTGCACTGCCACAGTACCTGGGTGCTGAGGGTGTGGGTGCACTGGCACAGGACGTGGGTGCTGAGGGTGTGGATGCACTAGCACAGGACGTAGGTGCTGAGGGTCTGTTGGCACAGGGCGTGGGTGCAGATGTTCTGCTGGCACAGGGCGTGGTTGCTGAGGGTGTGGGTGCACTGGCAAAGGGTGTGGATGCTGAGGGTGTTGTTGCGATGGCACAGGATGTGGGTGCTGAGGGTGTGGGTGCACTGGCACAGGACGTTGGTGCTGGGTGTGTGGGTGCTGTTGGTGGATTCTCCAAGATGCAGGATGGGGCTCAGCCGGATGTGGGTAAGAAGCACTGTTTGGTAATGTTGGAATAGCGTGTGCTTTAGATTGAGGATGGTGAAGTTCTCTTTTGCTCTTTGAGGGACTGTCTGGGCTACGACCAAGAGCAACATCTTAGAAATTTTTGAAAAACACATGCACATTGTCTCTATGCAGATGGACGTGGTCTTGAAGATTGTGAATACCCAGTGTAGGGTGATGTACGATGTGAATATTTGGTCTTTCAGCACATCTACGTGAGATCTCTGTGTTCACTCTCAGTATAGTCCCCGGGTGAAAATCAGTTCTGGGTAGAAGATTGGAGATGATTATTTTTGAAGATGGGAAAGTCTCTGTTGCTTTAATTGCCACTTGTGTGATGGACTGTGCAACTCTTTGTGCCTTCAGGTCATTTGTCCCCACGTGTATGATTTGGCCAGGATTACCAAGTTCCTCTTGGTCCAGCTGAAGAAGGGCACTAGCTATGTTCGGCCATCAGTGTCTCAATGTTGTGTGTCTGGGGAATAGCTGTTTTTCACCGATGTACTTGCCATTTGAGTCCATTAGGATAACTATATCTGCCTTTCTGGATGTGTTCTCCTGATCACGAGGGTGTTTGGGCTTGTGTGTGTCTGCTCTCTGTGTGTTCGTCTCAGGTGGTGTCTGGGTGGTGCTCGATGTAGGCCGAGTGAAGGTTTCTGAGTGTTCTCTCAGGCTTTGGATATCTTTCTCTCTGATGATCAATTCTTCTTTTACAGTCATCAGCTCAGTGTTTAAGTTGTTTTTGTCCTGTTGTAACTTTTTTATTTCTCCTCTCAGTTCTTCAACACTATCCGTGTATTCTCATGTGAGCTGCTGCAGTTTGTTTTTAAGTTGTTGAAGGCGTTTGTTAGATGTTGTGTGTGAGAGCCCCAGTTCTCGGAGCTCCACCAGCTCCACCTCTTGTAGAGACAGGCTGTTGCGTATCTGAGTGACTGACTGCTCCAGCTTGGCATCACAATCCAGGATGGGCTCTTCCAGCTCCAAGTCCAGCTCCAGCCTGGAGCTCCTGCCTTAAACGCTGCTGTCTGCTCTGCCTGATTGTCTCTGATTGGAGCTCATTAAATTGATCTTGTACAGAGGTGAGACAGGTTTCATTTCCCTGAAACATTATTGTTCCATTATGATATATATTTACAGTTAAAAAGGTGGTGTCACTCTCCTTATCATGAATTAGTATCTGTCTTCCATTACAGATGCCGTGATTTTTAAAGAAAGTTAAACTTTGTTGTCCTCCTAGATGTTTCCAGATACCCAAATACTGCTGTCCTTAGTTGTTTGTTTTCAAAAAATATATGCACAAAAACTGATTATCAGTTATTTTCTTATCCTTTTTGTATTTTTCTTCAGTTTATCTGTTTTGCATCCAGTTTATCTTTACTTTTGTGTAGGTTTTGTCTGGGTTGGTTCCTTCAAGAGTTGAAAAAATTGTTGAGTTTTTGGAGCTCAAGTGAAGCATGACCTCTCATTTAAATGGAATGGACTCTCTCTCTCTCTCACTCTCACTCTCACTCTCTCACACATTTCAGATTTTAGGTCCTTTATTGGCATGACAAATATCTATGTATTCGTATTGCCAAAGCAGTGCAGCGTCGCTGCATGTATAACAAAGTAACAAAAAAGAAAAACGAAGGAGAAAAGAAAAAATAAAACAAATAAAGAACAAGAGCGGGTAAACATTCACCATACAGAGAAGAGGAGTTTAGCTTTTTAAGTATATTCACAGTTCTGGTCGCTTTACGACTTGAAAGTCCTTTAAGATTCTCAAAATAAATTTTTAAATCAGACTTGAATTGGAAGATGTTAGGCTTCCTCTCCGACCATTTACACTTGCGTATATAAAACTTGCCCAATAATATCAACAGATTTAACATAAACAGGAGATTCTTTATATCTTTTTTTATCTATATAAAATATGACATCTCTTTTCTTAATAATAATTCTATGACCACTCAGTATATTAAATAGACATTCAACATCAAACCAGAAATATTTAACAAACAATCAAAAAACATGCATCTCAGTCTCAACATCCATTCCACAAAAAACACACGATTCCGAAAGATCAACCCTATACCTCTTAAGAAACTGGTTGCTTGGATATATTTTATGTATAATTTTAAAATAGATTTCACTGATTTTATTAGCGACACAATATTGGTTGTTATAAGTCCAGATCAAGTTACAATTGATATTCTCAAAATGGTTATTCCAAAAGTACTTGTCTAAAAATTGCAGGACAAAGAATCAAGCTTCTAAGAAATGTATTATTACATTTTCTATCTTTGATATTAACACCATCTAATAAAATCAAATTTTTTAACTGTTAGTTTATCTGGTTCACTGTAACCCTGCAAAAGCCTCGCCAGGCCTGCTGGTATTGCATCAATTACAATACTATAATCTCATGGAGGCACTGGAAAAATAACTTCTCTAAAAATTCAGTATAAGTCAGTAAATATCCTTTATCGTTTAACAACTGTGAGACCAATAGAATATCTTTTTTAACCCAATTATCAAAGGCGATTTTTTTTTTATTTTTTTATTTTTTTTATTTTTTTTTTATATCTGACAGTTTTATTATTCCATATTATTTGTTTATGGGGAGAAAAATTGTGTTTGTATAGAGGTATCCAGCATAAAAGAGCCTGCGTATGAAAATTAGATTACTGAATGAGGAGTTTATTAATCTCAAAGTCACATTTTAAAAGAAACTCTACATATCAGACTTTTTGAAAAACAAGGTTTGGGATTATATACCATATTTCATTTTTGTGTTTGATATAATCTTAAATCCAATTCAACTTAAAAACTGTGTTGGAAGTATCAAAATCAAGTACATTCAAACCTCCTTGATTATATGGATTACATAAAATATTTCTATTTAAATAATGAGGTTTGTTTTTCCATATGAAATTGCACATGTGCATTGCACATGTGGTTCCCGTGTTTCACATTTGAAGTTTTACACGTGCAATCTGCTCAAAATAAACAGAAAAAGCAAGTACTAGAAATTTGTTGCTTATTCTTGTTCTACCCCTCATACTTAAACATAGGTATTATTTTAACACTTCAAATAAATTACAATCAAAATAATAAAGTTGTCTTCATCTATTTGGTGATAAAAAATAAGTTGCATAAAGAAGAAAATTGTTGTCAAATTCTGGACCTCTGTCTGATCAACTGTATTACAAAATTGTTCTGTATTTTCATTTTGTGTATTTTTTTCTACAGAGGCTCAAGTATTGACAAATAAATAAGCTCTAGTTAGATTTACAAAAATATAGTACAGTGAAAATAAATAATTGAATATTAGCTCTATGAATATAAACCAGACCCAAAAAGCTATGTTCATTCTTGGTAATAGCTTTCATGTCTCTTATAAACGCTAAACATTAACTTTTACATTCTGTGCAACAAAAATGCAACATGGTAGGGCCTCTACCATTTATGAACTGCGTATTTATTAACTGTGGCACATTAAATCAGTTAATATATGCATCCCTGTTTGTTGTGACTTTTGTTTTTACTTTTTCCTGACTTCATTGATCTTTGTGTTTGGGATATCTTTTTGGATATTTTTGTCAAGTCAAAAACAAGGTTATAAAGAGTCTAGAGTAAATTTATCATGTGCCTGTAGCAGCCTACTTAAAGCAAATTAATAAGCATATTGACAAAATATTAGTTTTCCAGCCAACATGCTCCTGTTGTGGACATAATAGGCAACATAATCCTTAAAACAAAATCAAACAAACAATAAAACCTGTTGTAACAAAATCCCTAGATTGGGTGGTACATTTAGGTTTATTTTTATATGACCTTTTGTGTGGCATTTAGCTTGTTTTTAAGAATGCTGACTAGTGAGCATAAAAAGCTTAGTTCTTTCAAAAACAATTTAAAATCTTAGTTACACAATTGTTTAATTTAAGTATTCTTAATTACATTAGATAATGTAAGACTGTTGCTATGTTTCGTAATAAGTCACTGAATTGCATATATTTATTTCAGAATGTCTGTAAAGTAATACTGTGATACACTTAGTGAATATCAAATTAAATATTCCAAACCCATTTGTCTGTTTGTTGTAGCAGCATAGGTGTGTAGAGTATTGAATGACATTGAATGGGACTTCTTTTTAGTCACCATGACCAAATGGTTTCTATTAACTTTTAAAGTGGAAGTGGAGTGTAATAAAAAAAAAACAAATCACATGAGCATCCCGTGTCCAATGAATCACATAAAAAAGCTGGGTGAAGTTGAGGCAAAGCATGTTTGTGTCACATATTTCACATGTGATTTTAGTATCTGATTGCATGTGTAAGGGAAAATCTATTTTTATGTTTATTATAGTATGAATGAAGCTGTATGAATGCCTAAAGTGATTTTAGGCTGTAAGACATCATCACAAAACTGTGTTAATGTGAAACTATGTTAAGCCTGATACTTCAAGGTACTTTCCAGGGTAATTTTACTCAAAGTGAAAGTAAAAATGAAAATATTTTATACACTAAGTAATCATAATGCATGCTTATTTTATTATGTTTTAAATGTAATTGCTGGTTATGTACTTAAAGCCAACTAGTATATACACCCAGTCAGTCATTTTTCCTGTGGTGGACAATATATAATAAAAAGTGTAAACAATAATTTGTCTTCAAGGAACAGACATTGTGAAACTTGTCAGTCAATCATCAACAGTATGTTTGTATTTGCTATGTTGTTTCAAACACTTTTTGTTTTGAGTAAAGCACCTCAGAATCTGGACATTTGCATTTCTGGTGTTATATATATGAAGTTTTGTTTTATACAAATTATTCTGAGCTTGCAACATTTATGCTACTTGTTTGAACAAAAAAAACTGAATTTCTACAAAGATGCAGTTAAATGCAATGCTATATGTGGACACAAATAATACATATAACTTTTGTCATTATTTTATGTTTACTTTAATGTTATATTTTACCATGTAAAGTAACATGATCTAAGAACAAACACCCTTTCAAAACTAAACCGTCAAATCAGAGCTGCATTTTTACTGCCTTCCCTCCAGAGCCTCTCAAATGTTTTAATTTACCTTAAATCAGCACTTCATGGTTATGCGTACGTTAACATGAAATTCCCTTGCTATAATTTTGTCATTTCAGATCCTTCCAGAAAGAAGATGCATACGCAACTGTTTCAAGAGGAAACCTACACAGAGAAATTTAATCTACTGTAACTATCAGGGATTATGCAGCTGTCTGCAAGAAACCACAGCATTTTTGATGAAGAAAACCCTTATTTCTTTTCCTATAATTGGTGTAAGAAACCTGATAATGTTGCAGTATGTCTAAAAATCAGGTTCCCCATCTATTGCGTTGCATCCTGCTTTCTACTTTATTTGAACATGTTTAAGTTTGGTTTTTTCCTGTTAATTGCTACTGTGGTCACTTTGAACTTGGAGCTGTGTTTCAGTGCATGTGCTCGTGCAGAATATGAGATAAGTGGAGAATGCTGCCCCATGTGTGCACCAGGTACAGTATAGATTGTGAAATATATATTTCTGCCCAAGTCACCAACCCTGTTCCTGGAGAGCTACCTTCCTGCAGAATTCAGTCCCAATCCTGATCAAACACACCTGAACCAATTAATAGTACCTAAAGCAGCACTTGATAATTACAAACAGGTGTGTTTGGTCAGGGTTGCAACTAAAATCTGCAGGAAGGTAGCTCTCCAGGAACAGGGTTGGTGACCCCTGTTTTAAAGAGTAGGCCTACTGTAATCATCTCAATAAAACTTTACAGTGTATTTTAAAACCTAGCTCATAATTTTTGCTTTGTTGTATCTTGGACATCTTAATAAGAAATTAAAGGTGCAGTAGCTGATTGTCTTCAGAAACATGTTTTGTTGTGCTGGTTGAAAGTCTCTTCACAGTCCAATAGTAAGTATTACAGTAAATGATCTAAATGTGTTTATATGTATTTTTATATTCTGGATAAGGCATAAAACTAAAAAAAATTCATCCAATTAAATAGAGTCGGACCGACATCTCCCATAATTCCGATAAGCAGCTCAGACTATCTGTCAGCAAATGTAGATTCGGACTCCTGTCTCCGCCATTCGCGCGTGCCCGTCTGCAATAAGCGGCCGCGCGGTCAAGAGACAGACCGGGAGGAGTCAAATGCTGAATTGAAACTTTTAAAAACCTGAATCAATATTGGAGTTACTTTAGCATGCTGGAGGAACGACGACACCATGGCTAAAGTATTACTGTTAGACAGGTAATATTCTGTTTTAAAACTATTTTAGTCAGGCTAAAGCTTATGTTATGAATGACTTGCACAGACGTGTAAAAGATTGATTTGATTATTTTCAGTTTCATACGGTCCTTTTACAGCATCGATAATGTAGATTTATATTTAGTTTAACAACAAAACATCAGTAAATACAGCTATTCCTAACCTGCTTTATTGAGCTGAAGTTGCTTTTATATTCACATTGGGTCATTTTTGAACAATGACAGCCTTCCTACTGTTTACCATGCTACTCTGAATATTCGCTCTGAAATAGCATGTAAGAGTGGCAAAGTAATAAATGTAATTCCTGCACGGCTCTGGCACTAACTGACTGGCGAATGACATGAACAAGTGGGTTGTCTGTCTGCTGTTGTGACGCGTTTCACACGCTCTCGATTTCAGGGGGTTTGTCTTTGAATCACAGTCCCTCCCCGCCGTCCAAAGATAATATGCTAAACGGTTAGCATTTTTTCAGATCACTTTTACAGCAGACAGCAGGGGTGTAAAGGTACAGCAGGGGTGTAAAGGTACATTTATTTGTTCAGTTCTGATACAATCAGTCCACACGTGCAATCACCGGAGTTAGACAAAAATGGCAACAACAGTACAACAACGGAGGAGAAATTCACAAAGAATGTGTCTTTGCATCTGAAAACGCAAACTTCTCTGAACTCTTTGGTTCATTCTGCTGTAGCGACCTCTGAAATAGAGACTAAGGCAAAGGAAAATGAATGAATGAATGACGTTGTCTCACCTTGTGCACATGTAAGTCAGTCTGTGAGTAAGTGAACGTTTCTCTAACATAATATTGAACAGTTGTTTTTTGCTGCACCCGCTGTTATGGATGGAGACAGTGCTTTTTCATTGAAAGAGATTTTAGTTTTGAAGCTTACTTAATTAATACAAAATTATTGTTTTTTCTGTTGTTAGAAGAGGGCTGAACTTTAAAAAGTTTTACACACTATTTCCTAATTCTAATTTTTTCCAATTAGAATTTCTTTTGAAGATTTATTTTTCACTAATTTGTACTTTTGCAACATCAAAATAAGCTCTTCAGTTCTGTAGCTAATTGTGACAAAACATTTCTGCCTGTTTGAAATTAACAGAAAAAGCAAGCACTTAAGATTTGTTTCTTATTCCTATTGTACCATACCGACTGTAACTCCAAAGTCAAAGTATGTATCAAACCGTTACCTCTTGAGTGCCGTTACACCCCTAATACACATTAATCACATAAAAGCAAGCTAGTTTACTTAATTGTAGTGGTTACAAACTTGTGATGTATAAGAGCTATTTTCATGTTTTATGTTTTTATAATGCATCTCATGACAGATATTTATGTTTGCAGGAAACCGTGTTTACTGGCATTGCACTATCGATACCAGCACCACTTGTGTTCCATGTCAGGCATTAACATACACTGACGAGCCCAATGGTTTAGAAAATTGCTTTCCCTGCACTGCTTGTGGCGCAGGTGAGAATGTTCCCCAAAACTTAAAGTAAATTAATATCTAGTGTGTCACTTATTTATATGATTTGTGACAATCAAATAAATATATTTATATGATTCTATGATTTTTTTTCACAGCCAATGGTCTGAGAGTAAAGAAGACCTGCACACGATCTTCAGATACTGTCTGTGAGCCACTAGCAGGATTCTACTGTATTCGGCAAAATAAAGACAGCTGTAGTTTTGCTATAGAACACTCTAAATGTCAACCTGGACAATATATCCAAGAACCAGGTGTGTTCCTGTGATTACTTACAAGGGTCAACCAGTTAAATGTTGAATAGCTTTAGTAAAAATGTCAAATCAAGTTAGACCAAACTTCATTAAATGATATAGCTGTTGCACTACTTTAAGGATTAAAGATAATATGAGAGTAAGTTGACATCAGAGACAGACAGCAGTACAACACAAGAGAGGACTCAGGACACTGCATATGTACCTAATTCACAGTACGAGTATAGTGCAGTATATTTGCATCAGTAAAAGTGCAAGTATTAGTATAAATATAGTAATATAAGAGTATTATAATGTCATAGTAAAATGTAGAATAATGTAGTGACATTCACATTGTAATGAACAGCACATTTTGATGCACTGTAGTAATGTAAATTATGGTTTGCAAGTAGTGATGCCTTAGTATTGTACACAAATGCCAACATATTTAATGGACTGCAATTGAGTTAAAACGTGTAGCAACAGAAAAGCGGTGTGATAAGATTGTATTCTGAATGCAGAGATAAAGCGATGAATGTGTGTTGTGATGCTACAATGTACAAGAGCTTTGCTTTTAATGAGGGACTCTCATTAGAAAGTAATTATTTTATTATCTTTACAGGAACACCTTTTACCAATACTGAATGTGGTAACTGCATAGAAGGCACTTACTCTACTGGTCTTTTCACCACCTGTCGACCACATTCAAAGTTAGTAATTATATAACCATAGTTCAGTGCTATGGTTTCAGTTCTGAAAAGTCTGGAGTCATTCTATAAAATTAATTATATTTAACAGTTGTGAGAAAGAGGGACGTAAAGAAAAAACACCAGGAACATTATCATCTGATGTTGAATGTGAGGATTCAGCTTCAGTTGCTGTCAGTGTTGGAACTGCAGTTGGTGTTGGTGTTCTGCTGACTGCTGCAGGATTCACAACATTTTTCATATTAAAACATAAAAAACTGCAGACCTCTGAAACTGGTAAAACATTAATAACAAAAAAAAGTAATCATTTTTAACATGTTCTTCAGATGTTAATATTTCTTTATGTTCTAGGTAACAGTTGCCAACTGCCAGTACAGGAGAGTGTCTTTGCGCAAAATGAATGTGACATCTATGAGCCAGTAAGTAAAACAAAACAGAGCTGTTCAGGAAATTAAACAAAACTTTAACAAAACAACCATACTTTTATTGAACTTATTCTAAAATGCGGAAGTGCGCCTGTTTTCTCGATTGTCTTAGAACTTCCGATTCAGTCGCCTATGGGAGAAATGACTAGGAATAATAAACGGCAGAAAACGGTCAAACTACTTGCTCTACAAACAAATGTTTGCATGACTAGACCAAGTAGAATAATATAATAAGAAAATATCAAATTGCAACATCAAGCAGCGTAATGAGCAGTTTTTAACGTCCAAAAATGAATGGAAGTGAATGAGACCGGAAGTCTCAAGCCAAAAAGATTCAAATGGCAGCGCCCGCTCGTCGGCGGAGAATAAGGTGAATGGGTCACATTATATAGAATCAATATAGACTGAGTTAGATTTAAAAAAATCCATTTTGGTAATTCCAACATGCACATTAAAAAAATTAAAAGTCCTCTCCTTTTATATTTACAATTTCTAAAAATCATAGCTTGCTCTGTTCTGCATATTTTTAATTTATTTATTTTAAAAATGATTTAATGGAATAGATTGTTGTTGAATAGAAGTTGTAAATATATTTCTAATATATTTGTAAGATGTTTTATTTTAATTACTTATTATCTTATTTAATTGCTTAATGTTAATTAAGTTTTCTTTCTTTTTACAGCCATCACAAGACTCAGAGACTCGGCTCATAGCATCTTCATCTGGCTCTCTAAATAACACAAAAGAATCCACCTTGTAATATTCTATTATAAAATGTATGGAACAGACAATTTTTTAGCAGTTTGGTATAAAATGTTATTTGTTGAACAAAGAATGTTTTGTGAGGTAATTATATCACCTTTTAACAAATAAAGAACTAAATGTGGATTGTTTTAAGAATGTCTTTATTATTGTACCAAAATATAGACCTTTGTTAAGGTAGATATAAAGCTGAATTTTACACAGATAAAAACAAGGCTATGAAGGCAAAACAATAATTGCAAAGATTGTATGTAATGGTTAAAAAAAGAGTTTTGCTGTTACGTTTTGTCAGTTGAACCGGTTCAGTTTATTCCAACACCTTCACCTTGAAACTTGATGTTGTATTGAAATCTGACTCTTCAAGTCCCCTCACTGAAAGACCTGGTAGATGAAGCAACTGTCAAATATTTTTGCAAAATTACTCTATAGAGCAAGATATGACAGCAGCATGAGTTGTTTATATGTGACCTTTTAAAGCTGTATTTGTAGGGGGAGTGCATTTAAATCAATTTGCACCATAGACTTGTGTGCTTTAATGTTGGTGTAAAAGAAATTTGCTTGGATTTTATTTAATTACATTTTTTTTTCAACTGGCCTACAGAAATTGCTTTAAATAAATGTCCCATTATGGCGATACAAAAAAAATCTGACCCCGGACAAATCTAGGTCCATTGTGAGTCGTGAATCGACTTTTCTGGAATCGACTCCCCTACCCTCGCATCCTGAATGGGGTGGAGCTAAGACGCAAGGAAAGAAAGCGAGGAAACACAAGTGAGCACCCAAGGTAGACGATTGGAAGGTATGAATTTTATTATGCTGCGAATGTCTAGTTTTTACAATTGTCTTGTCGATTTGACCGTTCGTTGGCCTATACTGATTGTGTACCGTAAGTTCGTTATGCGCTATAGTTTGAAAGAACTGAAAGCTATGACGCAGCTTATATAACTTCATAACTTAAGCTTATGTAACATTATATTATTATTTATATTATAAAATACACTCTCCTAAATCTTCGTTTATATTCGTTATGACGTCCGAATTCTATGCCATCAAATGAACTGAAATGTTCTATTCACAACTAAATAAAATGCAACTGAAACTAAATTTTTAAGTAAAATAAAACAGTGTCGATATGACGACGCCAGTGAGGTTTAAACCTGACGATCAAGCCTGACGGGATCTGTCTTAATGTTTTTTTCAATGAAATTTAAAGCATACAACATGAAATGCAATTACTTGCAGATATGGGTGTAAGGTTTAACAGTAGGGGGGACAATAAATAGGCTATAAAATTTCTTTCGAGCATTTTTTGAAGAGGACACAAATAATGCAGCCGAAATGTTCTAATAAAGATATCCCCCGCAGTTAAAATTGTATTATCATTATTATTATTATAGAATGGAGACTACGTCATTATGATTATTTTCAAAGTGTTTCTCAGGTTCAACGACAGCCATTTTTTCTTCAAAACTATTTATTTCATTGTTGTTATTTACATTGTGTTGTTTACAGTCAACAGTCCTACGGAGACCCGGAAGGCACGTAAAAATACTGCGGTCACGCCATCTGCGGTTCAGAGAGAGACGGTCACGCTATCTGTGCTTTAAATTGTAGTGCGCGTCTACTCGGTGTTTCGCGGTAGATTAATAATTAATAAAACAGATTCTGCAGTTTTATAATCTTTTTTCACTTTTATTCGCGTAAATGAATACAAATGATAAATAATCAAAAATCGTCACTTTTATTTATATTTTGCTATATAATAATCATGATTTTGCATGAAGACTATGCAATTATTCATTTGTTTAGCTGTAATTGTGTTTTATTTGCGAGTTTAAAACAAAATTATAATATTAAAGTCATTACCCGGCTGTCAGACTATTCACATTCTCTTTTCATACTCACAACGTACTATTTAGGTGTTTACTGAGTAATTATGACTGTTTTATTGGTTTATTTGTGTTTTTTCTGTAAACATTTACCCCTATTCCATGTGAAATGTTGCTAAATTAACGGGAAAAAATATTATTGTACAAATGTTTATTTTCCATACTTAAATCACATATAAATGATAACATACAAAAATAATGGAAAATTCAGTGTTTTTTACTAAAGAGACATATTAGAAAAATAAAAAAATAAATAAAATGAAATTGTTTTCTGCCAACTCCAGATTATTGTTGTAAATGTCCTGATGTACCACTGTGCCCACTTTTCATATCATATTACTGTTGCATATTTATATATTATATAAATATAATTTATATTTTATAATTTATAATTTTTCATTTTTCTAATATGACCGTACAGTAAAAAACACTAACTTCTATGATTTTAGCACGCTATTATTAAAATAGTGATAGGAAAACATATTTTTAAGTTTTTGTTTTGCGTTCCCTTGCAAAACTGTTTCTCCACAAACACTTCCTGGGGGCTATTCCAGAAAGCAGGTTATGTGACATACACGGGTAAGTTTGAGAGTAAGTAGGTGGATAACCTCAACTTTGGTTCCAAAATCGGAGGTAACTTCTGGGTATGTTAAGTAGCCATAGCAACTTACTCTCTGAAGATAACCTGCTCCGGAGCAGGTTATGTTCAGAGAGTAAGTTGCTATGTTCCAGAGTTTGTCTGTTTCAGAGAGTTTACTGAGCATTGCGTGCTCTTTTGATGAGAATATTTATGGATGTGGACACACAGATACAAGTTTTTTCGTTGTGAGAGGGTTATAAGTGCATAGTTTTTTTCATAACCAAATTTATAATGTTAATGTATTTAACAAACCTTTTTGAAATCAAATGTGACAAACCGCGGGTCTGCGCTTACCATAAAAAACATTCAGTGCAGCTCTTTGTATTTGCGTCAGGGCATTTTAGGCAACTGTACAATGTGGCAGTAGGACCACCTGTACAGTATGCCTGGCACTGAACTGTTTTTTAAACTTTTGTACAGTTCCTTGGTCATAAATCACTGCGTATCATTACACAGAAGATTCAGAGCACGGCAATAGAGTAGTGGACAGTGCGTCGATAAAGAACAACGGAGCGAGTTTGAATCTCACTTACAGATCTTGTGTTTTTTCTCTTCTTCTGCACCCTCACATTTTCTGTATAATATTATAAGTGGCAGCTTTGTCTTTTGTAGGAAAATATATCTTTAATTTAAGATGTAGGACGTCGTTCTTATATAAACATTCACGCACACACACCTACATTTTTTTTCAGGGTTTCTAAATGCTATTGTGTGCATTAATTGCAGCCGATTTTAAAGCTCCATCAGTCACTAAAGGACACTGATAATATAAAATTTGTCCAAAGTATAAGTGTGCAGGTACAACTTAATTTTATATCCTTAATCTTTTGGTGTTTCAACTAATAAACTCATTACTGCTTCCACTTACCAGCTCATCACACACCCCACCTCATCACTATGTTGAGGCTAAATGGCTGATTTTCAGGAAGTAGTGATTCAAGTGTATAACACAAATATAGTTTAAAAAAAAACTATAAAGCAAATGTTGCTCAACACAATGTTTATTTTTATTATATTATAAAATAGAATCATTACTGGGCACTACATTGTTACTTGCTGGAGGACAAAAGATACCCTTTTCTGCCTTATACGATGACACCCTACCTGCAGCCTGACCCAGAGGAAATCTCAGTGACCCAAGCAGACAAAACAGATGGAAGAGTGCTAAAAAAATATAATTAGTCAAAAAACTATGTTTAATCAAATAGTTTGGTCTGTCCATTTCTTCATTTCCTGAAATAAAATGAATGATTTTGTACACTGCTTTACACACGCACCTTTAAACATGTAACATATTGTTCATATACATTTCTCACCTTAAGTTGATGCTTATGTGACTTTATCTTTGAAGATGGACCTTATACAGCTACTTTAGAATTTAAATATGTAGATAAAAGATTTTGTGATCCAAGAGTAATATTCAAATATGGAAAAGTGCAGAAAATTCTTACACTGCTTGTTAGTTGAGGCAGAAGGAACTTCGTCTGCATGCAAAATAAAAAGAACCTAAAGCTATCTGACAACAATCACTTACAACAGTGACAGAGTGTGTGGTTTAAGTCAAAAACTCAACCACTGAAAAGCCTTTATTATAGGACACAGCAGTTAGACAGGCCTCTTTCTATTAGCTGCATGACAGAAAGAATATTCTAGAGTGTTAAATAAAGAGCTCCAGTAATTAAATATTACCTTTTATGATAATGTTTCTGTGTTTAATGACTTTGGACAGAGTTCTAGCTCCAGAAAGATTACAATTTCTATAAGCCTTATTAGTCAATACACATATTGTGGCCTTAAGAAATTAATGGCAAAAAAAATAAATGCATGAATGGTTACACAACATACTAAAAAAGAATGTTAAAGAGTAGTTTAATTTATCATTACAATAAAATGGAGGGTGGCATGTGTAATTTAATGAACTAATAAATTTTCTTATTATTTATTTTTTATTTTCTTATCTATTTCTTATTCTATATTTCTTTCCTTCGTTGAAGCAGATGTGTAATCTCTGTGTTTAAAACCTCCAGCTCTGCCTCTGTAAAGTGCGTTGCACTTTTTTTCTCACCGTGACTTTCTATGGTGACTCGTGAATTCGGCGATCTACTGAAAATGCCTTCAGGTGTGTGCCGTGCACGCGCATTAACCCGCGGTTATCTTCAGGAGGTTGATTTAACTAACTCTTGTCACCTGTTTTGGAACCAACATACTCGCGGTAAGCAGGTTTTGGGTAAATCAACCGAGAGTTTAGGTTTTAGCAGATGGTAAGTTAACCCAGCTTTCTGGAATACCCCCCTGTTCTCATTCATGTAAACCCTCCTGTTTTTGCAGAAATTCTCCCGTATTTTACCATTCTATTCCACTATCATCCTATAATTATTTTCCCATATTTCTGATACATTTTAAATCTTGAAAGCACTTTGAAATTAATATTATAATGTCTGCATTCACTTTCTTTACATTAAAGCTGTGCGTCGATTGCCGCCTTTCATATGCAACCTCTGAACCTGTCAATACATGTATGCGGTGACTGACGGACGCACACCATACAATAAATCGATCCCAGATCAGCTTCTGTACATGTCATTTACAGAGGAGCAAAAGTGCAGGACACTTTTGGATTTGGGTGTATGTTTAAACTTAACAAATACACTGAATAACATGTAAACTAATTCATCCTGCATGTTTTATTTTAAGCAGCAAAGTTTGTCTTAAATGAGCACAAATTGTTTCTAAAGTAATGGAATGCTTTCATTATAGATTTGTGCATTTTCACAGTGACACCTCTGTTATCTACGGAACCCTGGAAGGGACGTAGTGGAGGAGAAAAAATTGGCAGGGTGAAAAAAAAATAATGGGAGAGAAAAAAATGGGTGGGAGGAAAATACATAATTCTAAGTTTTTGCGTTCTCTCGCAAAGTTTTGCGTTTCCTCGCAAAAATGTTTTGCGTTATCTCGCAAAGATGTTTTGCGTTCTCTTGCAAAACTGTTTCTCCACAAACACTTCCTGTTCACTTCACTCACGTAAACCCTCACATTTTTGCCGAAATTTTACCATTCTATCCCACTTTCTTTACATTAAATCTGTGCATCGTTTATCACCTTTCATATGCAACCTCTGAACCAGTGCATGCATCCCAGATCAGCGTCTGTACGCGCCATTTAAAGTGACACCTCTGTTATCAAACAAAGGAGCAGCAAATTAAACTTATGTTTTGTTTTGTTTGATAACAAGAGGTGTCACTGTAAGAATGCACACAGATCAATAATGAA